GGTCGTAATCCAGGAGAAACCTCAATTTCTGATCTTCCTGGTGTTGTGAAGCTCAGAAAGGAACTTTGTGAAACAAATGTATGGTATTGGGCATTTATCATCCACATTGCCTAGGAGTGTCTTGTATCTTCATACTTATGTTATATTAATTTATTGCAGTCACTGAATGAATCTCAAATACATGATGCACTCCTACAAAGACTGCTAGTTGGTACAAGGGAATACCCTCCAGTTTGTGCCATCATTGGAGGAATCCTTGGACAGGTTTCATTTTTGACCATTTTTCCTACTCTATCTATTGAAATGATTAATTACTACTATAAGTATACTAATTTCAATGTGATCGACTGTTGAATGATATAGGAGGTCATCAAAGCAATATCAGGTAAAGGGGATCCACTCAAGAATTTCTTCTTCTTTGATGCCATGGATGGGAAAGGCTTGATCGAGGACATACCAGAGCCAAACACCGTAAGCTGAGCAGCTTTGATCAGGGAGTATATGTAAAATTATAACTTAGGCGTGTAACATTCTGCTTATAGCTGTGGGGGTGAGGTTAAGTTGTTGTTGAAGCTTTTATAGGATTAGCTAACAGTCAACTATTCATATTGTTGCCTAAATTTTTTAACTCTGGAAAACTTAAACTTCTAATCTTTCCTAAAGAATTTGGACTCAACACTGTTGCTAATGAACCATGATTTATGGAATTTATTGTTGGAAGGTTTTTGTAGCATACTGACTACAATAATCGATAAATGCTGCATGAAGCGTTCTCATGACGCATTCTCTAGCTGTAGTGCTGGTATATGTAAGGTAAATTGTATAGATGTATTTTCCCGTGGGACTCTGAGAAGGGTAGCAAATGCAATTTCCTTGGGGATAATTCTACGGATCAATGAGAATCGAGATCCAATGCTGCTTTCTAAAAGCCACTGCAGCTGCTGCTGTTTCGTGGTGGGGATAAAAGGGGTGGTAAAGTGCAATCATGTCTGCATAAACATTGTATCTAATCAAAAGGGAAGCATATTACTTTTTTCCAATGGTGGTAGCCAATGAATGGTGCCGCTGTGTTAAACATCAGTGCTAAACAGCCCTTCAAAAGTAATATTATGATGACAAATTGCTGGAAATGTGTTAGAGAATGCACTCATGGAGACATGAAAAATGTTCGACAGAGTGATCATGATAATGCTTGAGTAGATCCTAAAACTCTAAATCAATGGTCCAGATTAGATTGTAATAAAGATTTCTGAATTCAAGGTCCAGTTATTTTCCTCTAATTTTCTACTCAAAATCCAATAATCAAATTCAAAACATGATAAACCGAAACGTGGGTAGTTTTTGTCCCGTTATAATCTCATCACATTTAAAAGCAACGTCTCTAATCCATTATTCAAAATCCCCACAAAGAGTGCAAAGTCATGACAGAAAGCGAAAAAGGAAGAGACCCCACAATGGAAGAAGAAGAAGAAGAAGAAACCGATGGCCAAAAACTGCACCATCTTTTCAAGAATTTAGAACAGGAATGGGACTTCATAAAGAAAAGGCCAGAGAAAACCCTGTTTAGAAGTTCAACAGGCTCAAGTAAAATGATTAAAACCCTTGGATTGCTCAACAACTCTCCCAGAAAACTCATGTCTTCTCTTCAGCACAGATCAATCTCTCCATCGGAGAGAGTAGCATGGAAAGTGAGAACCAATGACTTGGCAGTCGAAGAGATACTCACAGAGAGAAGGGCAGCCATTGAGAGTGGAAAGTTGAAGGGAAGACGGCTTTTCGAGGAAGAAGAGGGTGTAAATGATCAGGTGGGTTTTGTGAGAGATGAAGTGACATGCAGTGGCTTGGAGATTGGTTTGGTTCAAGAAAGTGAAGTGAGGTCAGTTTTTTCTTATGAATCTGATAATTATGAGGATGAAAATTGGGGAAGAAAAGAAGTTTTGCTCCCTTCATGTCCTCAGTGTTGTTCTTATTCATCATCATCATCATCTTCTTCTTCTCTATGTGCTGAGAATGTACATAGAGGAGGAATTGAGGAGGCAACTTTGGAACAGAAGAGAACTGCCTCTGATGTAATAGGCAGTGAAAGATCTGTCATGAGATTGAAACTTACCATGGTTTGGCTTGCTATTAGTTTAGTTGTATGCCTTGTTGGTATCATCTCAAGGAGTTTTAGTCTATTCGAGGATGAAGAGGTGATTCTAACCCCAACATGAAGTCTCTCTCTTTAACTTTAGTTTGATATTATAACAACTATGGTGAGGAAGAATTAATCTCTTCTGATCTTTTTCCTATTTTCTTCCCTTACTAGTTTTCTTGATTGTTATGAACATCATTAATGTTCTAAGTTCTTTCTAATTGGGACTATGTTATAACTATATATTCATGATCTATGTGAGCAGGATTTGCTTTCCCATTATGAACCATTAACTGATACATTTTGCATGTAATAATTAATCATGTTGCTATGAGAGTAAGAAAACATGGAATCGCATCCAGCAGTAGCACCCACTTTATTTATCTTGCACTACTCTGCTAGTCAATGTCTGTATACATATGATTGATGTTTTCAGTAGACTCAATCATTGAAAAAAAACCTTTTATAGCCTTCTCTAAAAGGAGAGATACATAAAGCAAATCAATCATGCAAAATACAGAGGGTCCAGGGAGAAGCCTAATCTCTTGAATGCCCAAAAGAATGAACATGTACATATATATAGCTTAATAATTATCCAAGTTACCTTCAAGGACGAGTCCAATTGTAAGGGGAGAAGTTCTCTTTTTAAACTATATTCTATCATTGTAAAATGTATTTTAATAGAAATCTTAAATGCATAGTTTGATTTAAGGGGAATGTACCCTTAAGACTGATCAAAAAAAAAAAAAAAAAGAAAGAGCTAAGAAAAATCTAATAATACTTCTTACCATATTATTAAAAAAAATAATGATCCAAGTTCCAAGGATTTTCTCATTTTCTCCTAATATAGTGTGTATAAATAAATAAATGCATATCTATCTAAAATTTAATAGCCTAACATAATATAGATGGTTCTATAGTAAATTAAATTTTATTTATTGAATAAATTTTAACATATAATAATAAAATATTATTAAAATGGTAATTTAGAAATATAATTACCAATCATACTCATTTTTGTTAATTCAAAAAAAATTTCATATGCCTGATTTGGATAGATACATTTATGAAGGAGACATATAATTGGAGGTATCTTACATTGCTTTTGGGTATAGGATTCTTCCTGCATGATTATCAAGGTAGGTCATATTTTCCAACTTTCAAAAACGTTACAAACAAAACATGACAATCTTCAAAATGAAAAGTATATTTTGAACAATAATTTAAGATGTCTTGAACCAAACGTCACAAAAAGTAAAAGATTTGTGATTTATGGTTGGCAAAAAAAAAATGATTTGTGATTATCACTGAATGTTCATAGCCCTTAAAAACAAAATTTCATTTTCTAGACTAAATTTTCCTTTCAAATTTCTTTGAAGAAAGTTAGGCATAAAAAATATATTATAATCAGACAAAAAGAAGTTGTGCCATCATTTACTGAACCTCAAGCCAAGAACAATGGGCAATTGGCCGAGGTTCACCCAAAAAACAATGGGTTCCCTTTCCCTGACTTATAAGAGACTCACAGAAAGGAAACAGGCCCCTGCTTTTTTCATCCCCATGTTTCTTCTTTGATTGAAAAAACTTATTTAAACCTCCATTACAAGAACTGGGGTTATGGTTTCATTCTACAGGAATGAAAACAAGATTAACTGGCAATGCTGGTATGGGAAGTAAGGTAAGGTAGAGAAAAATATGCTGATTTTATATCAACCAATAATATTGTCGATGAGACGAGGAATTCAAGTTTGGAGGACCAGAAATGGTAGAAAAGAAGCAACTATGAGTGAATGCATTTGGGGCTTATTCCTATCAGTGGATAGGAGATGATGACTGAGACAAAGCCTGAGTTGAAGGGGTAAAGTCAAAGATGATACCAGTTACGCAGCATCGAGTATGAAAGCTGACACGGAAATGGTAGATGACAGAATGCTGAGAAAAGGTTGAAAAAGACATTAACATTAATTATTGTTGGGTGCATGTGCAATTTGCGAGAGATCACTAATGTGATAGACTGATAAGATTGAATTAGAACATAGAAATGAGGCATTATCTGTGTCTGCTGAATTGCTCTTAAAGCTAAAACATCAGCAAATAATTAGTTTTCAAAAGGTTTATGAGATTTTAGGTTTAAGCCTTCATCATGTTGGCATAAGATAAAGTATCGTACTCATACATTGTATTAGCATTGTTTGCTATTGGAGTTAAATCTGCAATGGTGTTCGATCGAGACTGAGGAAAAAAAAAAAAAAACCCAATGGTGTCATGTCTCAGGATTTCGACATTGTAGTCAAGCAATTTCTCCAATGAGCCGGCAGGCTTCGCCCTGACTCTGATTGAAAGGACATTATAGCTAGCTATAAACATAGAACATGTCAAGAATCAAGAAATGCTACTCAAAAGAACCAATTAATTGGTTCTGTTAAACACAGGTATCTGATGCAAAGCCAAAATCTATTAATAGTACATAACAATTGAAGAAACCAACAGGCTAGGATATTGTACGGCTGCCCAAGATATAAATCAGCCGACCCAGCAACGAATGAGTCAAGGGAGTTACACTATAGAATCACAATAAAAATTTGATTCTGCTTTGGATACTAAATGCAATAGCAAACAATATCTGACCAATCTATCTGCTATGCAAATTCACTCCCCCTCTTACTCTGTTGAAATCATACTTTTCTTAGTCAAACTCCAATCTAGCATCAGGCACAAATAGCATTACAAAGAAGAAAAAAAAATTTGCAGGTGAAAGTCCAATAGATCCGTGAATCTCAATTGGGTTGGCGACATGTCTTGACTTTGAAAATGAGGTAGCCATCCCTGCTCCCAAACTTTTTTCTTACCAGAAGAAAAAAACATTACAAAAAAGAAAAAAAAAAAACAAAAATATATAAAAGCATGTCTTCAATATTTTCTTGCTGAGGAACATGATGGACAACACTACAAGCTAGGAGCATATACATAACGATATAAACATGTTCTGATGTCTGACTGTAGATTCACAAACAACACATTTCATAAATGGTTGAACGTTTGCATCTGCCTGAGGATGTGTTCAAAGTTTTCTGTGAACTTCTCCACCGGATGCGTGTGTATCCCTTCATAAGTAGTCACCACAATTTCATTATCTTTGGAATTGCGTTGGACTTGTTTCTTAACATTGCACTCTTTATGCGTACACCTGTAATAACTTCTGCAAATGGAGAAACAACCAAAATGAATAGCAGATATAGGAAATGGTGACTAATTATATGGTAAAATCTGATAGAAAATTGGTTTATTTGGGAATGTCTTTGCATATATATTAACATAATCTTCCATGTTGAAGAACATGTACAGCCAAATTTCTTCTCACGGTTCTTAATTTGAATTTTCCTTTTATTTTACATAAGGAAGCTGCAGCCTAGGATAGGAGAATGGATTTCGGATTCAAATTTCAAACATATTGGATGTATCTCTTAAAAGTGAGATCCATCTGGGTTTTTGATTTGAAGCTTTTAGTGGATCTACATACTCTTGAGATATTCTAACACGTATATAATCATCTATAGATCAAAGACTGGAATCTCTTAGGTCAAGAAAAGTAGAGAACATAAAAATATATATACCTGGGGAATTTGCTATTCTTAACTGTTTTTTGCCCATATTTCCTCCAACGATACCCATCATCAAGTATATCAACCTGGCTCCTCGTTTGAAATGCATATTTGTGCTTCCTCATCACCTTGTTGTCTCCTTTCTTCCCTGCTTTCAACTCTTGACTTTCAGATACAACATCCTTGGCAATGACATCCAAATTCTCACATTTACTCTCTACTTTCGTTGTAGTAGTAATTACATCGTTGCCTTGCAAATAACGTTGATGATTTGCCATGGTTATCGAGGGAGGTGAGGCTGAAGCTCCACCTAGGAAAAGTATGTGGTAATTCTCCATGATAATTAAGCTGATGCTCAACTATAGCTACAATGAAGAAATTGAAAGACAACAAGATACACAGGAGATTAGATCAAGTTGAAAGGAGTGTATATACATGACAAAAAATAATGTACGAGGAAATATGTAAAAAAAAAAAAAAAGGTGGGCGGCGTAATGGCCAACGTACAAAGTCACTGAAAACAGCGAAAAATGGATGCATGGACCGGAGGCTGACTGTTCATGGATGCAACCCCTCTTAAACAAAGAAAGTCGAGTCCTAGACGTCACGTAACATGATGAGAATATTTGACCAAAGCCAAACTTTTGGAGAATATATATAGCATGCAAAACATTAATAAATTAGATGTATCAGATGCAACTTGTGAAAAGGAAGAAAACTGAGATGAAGTTTTTAGATGAATTTGGTGAAATTTTTAATTAAAATTAATTGATTAAATTTTTTTTAATCTATTAAGTATATAAAATTTTAAAAAAATTAAATTTTTTTTTATTTTTTATAATCATTTTTAATAAAATTTTTTTCATAATATCGATTAAATTTGAATTATAAATAATATTTTTAATTTTTTTATATATATAATTGATTTTATCATTAAATTCTATTAATTTATCAATTTAAAATTTTTTATTTAAATTTTAATTGAATCATTTATATTAAAAAAATTTCACGAATTTCAATAAAAAAATTCCATCTAAGTATTTTCCCCAAAAAAAGATATAAATATAACCATCTAATATATTCGTATAGTTAAAATGTGATATTGAAATTAAATTTATCATTTTTTTCCAAAAATCAAAGGAATTAAAAATATAATGACAAATTAAATAAAATTAGAATACAGTGTCAAAATTCCAAATTTGACCTAAAAAAAATGCACAAACAAACTTTTAATTGACGTAAATAAGTGCATATATAACATACAAAATGTAATTAAACTCAAAAATAGTGTTTTTGGTCAAAATTACCACTCTATTAAATTGAGAGCTCAAAATTTACCACTTTCAAGTTGATTTTTGGTACAATCTTACCACCATTTCATGAACTTTAAAAAGTATATGTTAAATGTTAAGATTGATGAAATGGCATTCGTTAAAAATTTTAAAAATAAAAAATTTTTGATGGATGGATTAAATTAAACAAAAAAAAAATTTGTGACATGTCAAAAAGAAAGGGAAAAATGAAAAAAAAATCGATAATTTCCTATAAAATGTTTTTCATTTACAAATTTTTTAAATTTTAAGTTAAAATATAAAAATATTTATAAATTATTTCACAAATATAAAAATACATTACTAAAAAAAATTAGTGAGATAAGTTTTTAAAAAGAATCCAATTGTTTCTGTTTTTTTTTATTTGATTATTGATATTATCTTTAGTTACATTTTTAAACAAAATAAATTGTTTTTTACTCTTCCACCTAATAAAATTTTAAATAAATTAAAATTTTTAGTGAATATTATTTTTTTAATTTAAATGAAATATTTTATTTTCATGCATAAATTATTAAAATTACACAAAAATACAATTAAAAATAATAATAAAGCAATAAAATTGCACCAAAATGTATAGAGTAAAATCAACACTTTTCCCTCTTTTTCTTTAACAATCAAAAAAAATTTGGAAAATTAAAAAAAAAAAAAAGGAAACTCAATTAAAAACGACAAGATTTGGCTTGAATTTTGGGGGTCTAAAATTTGATGCTTTTCCTCCAAGTCATATACAAATCAAGAATGATTTCTTTCAAACAATTCGGCAACGATGATGATGATATTATTCTAGACTTTGTATTAACTTTGAAGATTGGACGATTTGAAGTGATATGAAATTGGAAAAACATGAACAAACGTAATGATCCACGTCAGGTGAGACTTTTGTGGAGGCTAATTGTATATTTCTCATCGTTTATGAAAAGAACAAACTACAATTGGTTAAGGCAAGAGGTTTTCTTTAATTAAGAGTGTAAACTTACATAATGTAAATGAAATGGATGTATATTTGTAATTTATTTATTTATTTTTAAAACTATTTGTATTTAATTTGTGTTTGATAAAAAAATATTTATTATATTCGAATCAATTGGTTTAAATAATAAAATGTTTTCAATCGATTTATATTTAATTTTTTTAAATTAAATAAAATCGTTTATAAATATTAACGCATATATTCATGAATTACAAATTTATAAATGAATAATGAATAATAAACAAATATATTCGTAAATAATAAATAAATTATAATCAAATAAATTATAAAATTTAAAAATAAAAATAAATAATAAGTAAATTCTAAACAAATGAGTTTTAAACAAATCTTAAATAAATTCATTCGTGAATATAAATGAATTCGTTCGTAATGCTTTTAAACATTATTTGTTACACTTAATAAACAAATAAAAAATGAACATGTTTATGAATAATTCGTCAAAAATTTTATTAATTTACACCTCTATCTTTGGCTAAATTTATAGTAAAAATAATAATTATGTGATCTGTTGATACAATGTTAAATTTTTTATTTCAATGATCAAATTTTATATCTTATAATTTCAAGTATAAAAAAATTATAGTTAAGCTCAGACACGTTTAATTACCTAATCTTTGACGTAAATTGCACTAGGTAAATTTATCCCGTGCATATTCTCCTTACTAGGAAGTTTTCAATTTAAAATTGGTGTTGCATTTTACTAATATTTTGTTTGTCAAAATCTATATCTTTTCTATAAAAGGACGAATTACAAAACTGTAAATAATGGACGACATTATTTTTAAATTGATTAATTTATTCTAAATTAATGATTTTCTTGTTAAATTAAAATATTGAATAATCTTTATTTATTAATGTCGAAGTATTTAATTACATTAAAGTAAATTTCCATAAGTGACAAATTTTTAAAAATTAAATACCGACTATTTTTATGTTTTTTTTTTTATTTATCTTTAACTATTGTTAAAGGAAATTGTTGTAAATAAGTAAGAATAAAATAATTAGATATTCATATGCTAATAACAAAAGAAAAGCAATATTAATTATAAACGATTGTGGAGGTTGATAAAAAAAAAAAAAAGATTATTTTTAGACATGGGTACGTAAATTACGTGCCAATATGCTAATATTTGTCGACTGCACTTTTTGCTTAATTATGATATTGAGTTAAACTCCTGCCAGGGTTCAATCGAGTTACCCATTTTCATGGCATCATCAAAAGCTTGTTAGAGTGACAACAAATGGACCATGCGTACTTTCTCTTGACCTGCTGGGCTAGTTTTGATGTAACATTGCTCCGCCAGACCTGGATTCTTGCATTGGAGCAACAAGTTGAAAAAGCATCGCCATTTGATGAGACTATATGGTTCATTTTGATTGTTTTAAAGCAAAATTAGCATCTATAGGTGGCCCTGTTTTGTTTAGCGCTTGATGATACCATATGAATCACTGAAATATATTAACTATAAACACATTCTTCAAAACTGATATCTGGGTGTCACAAGTGTTTCTGTGTTTCTCATTGTCAAGGAGTTCAAGTCAACAGTCTCCTATCAAATTGTGTATTGAAAAATTAGCCAGTTTGGAGGCCTCAGCCTCTCCTGTCCTGTCCATGCATTTGACAAAGGATACCATCTAAAGTGACCAAATCACACAGAAGTGAACCATTTTCCTAAAATGGGTTTCTGGTGGAATAGAAATAATAGCTGCTAGTCCAGAGTCTACTCAAAAAGCACCAAAGGTGAAAATCAAATCAACTAAGATTTCACATTGAAATCAAAATTAAGCCATGTGATGATGAAATATGATCAGTCCATGTAAGCTACAGTAATCCCCTTAAAACATGCAACTAGTTTGACTGACAACAGTAAATCCGTATCCCCCAAAAAATTTCATGTGCCAACGGAAATGACTCCCCCACGGAAGCAAAGACAAAATCTTTATTTGTAACAGCTGGAACGAAGCAAGTTTTTTTTTTTTTCTCCAGAAAACGAAACAAGAGAGAAAATTACTAGCTCCTATATACTCGGACCCCACAGGCTCCATAAACGAGAGTTGAATAAGCCCACCACGTCCGGCAATACCTTCCTGGCCAAACCCTTGTGGCTAACCCCAGTTGCTACAGCCGCCACCTCCATTTCCTGGTCTCCAGTCATTTTATCATCACCCACATTCTCTTCTCTTTGTTCACAGCCACCCTTATTTTCAGCCTCCGCCAAGCCCTCACTTTCAACAATCAACATTTCACTGTCCTGGGACTGCTCTCTTTGCAATGCATCGACAGATACTAAATTGGATTCACAAATGCTCAATATTACCTTATCTTTTTTCCTGGCAGCTTTACATTGTTTCTTGGAGACCTCATTTTGAATCAAATGGTCCTCAAAGGCTTCGATGACTTGATGAATGAGGTCCCTGTTGGGTGATGAATCCCATCTGTGCCAAAACCTGGTGTAACAATCAAAGCACCCACATTGAAAAACAGGGACTTTTCCTTTCTTGCACTTGTTCTTGGGTTGATGGGTGAGGGTAGATGGATTTGTGGTGGAAATGATGGACCTTGTTATCATATAAGCCAATACTTCTTGGTCTTGGGGTGGGAGAGCTGAGGCTAGAGCTAGAACTGCTACTGGGAAAAGCTTGAACACCGAGTTAGGGTCTCTATATGAAGCTGATGAGGAAGGTGAAAATAGAGAAGGGTACACTCTGCCTTTCTTTTTGACCATCATTTTGGGCTTTTCTCTTTCTCTCCCTTCTCAAGCTTCCAAGCTTTTTCCTTTTTTCTTGAAATTTATTCTAGGGAGTGTTTTCTTGGTTCTGTCTCAAGTTTCAAGAGAAGCATCTCACTGTTGAAGAAGAGGGCAAGGATGGAGTTGTTTTCGATTAAGGTAAGAGATAGAGAAAGAGGACTGTTGTTTCTTGGAGAAGCGCCAAGCTATCTGAAGCAAATGCCTTTTTCTTTCTTTTGGGTTCGTATCACGCTTAGCAGCTACTTCAGGCCTATTTATGGACTGCAGCTTGCTTTTCAGGAGTGACCAAACTGACCATATAGAAAATTATGAAAAGAAACCATTTTTTATTGTTCTAAGGGTTTTGAACAAGGGATATATTCCAACTTTAAAAACATTTTAATGAATAATTTAAGTAATTAAAAAGATCCTTTATATCTGTTTCAATAATGCAGATTATCACTTTACCAGTTGTCATCCAATTCTTTTTTCCCATGAAATTAAAGAGAAAGAACGAAGCATTGCTGATTGACTTTATGATTGTGTGCTCACGAGAATCAGATTCACACTATAGTCATTCATAATCGGCTTATCATTTGTTCTAGTTTGCAATTGCAAATGAAACTCTTAACCCCTTATCATAGTTTTCTATTAGCCAAATGGAAACGCTACCTCTAATAAACAACTTATCGAGATTTTATTGTCAAACGTTTTAGTTAATGCTGCCCACGTTGAATTGAAGAACATAGATATTAGGTCTCTCCATGGGACCCTGACTCGATTGAGCTCCCTCAGTGCCTGGCCTGCAGGCCACGCTCTATAGACTATAACATGCAAGAAAAGAAACTTTTGGTCTGTGCAACTGAGCTAAACCCAGCCCATAGCGGAGGCAAACTATTTTTTCTGGGCTTATGGCCTCTGATTAGGTCCAATTTTCTCATCCCAATATCAGAAAACGCAGATAACCATTAATATCCGTCCGTGTATTCGTTGGGAACACTTACCTCTTGAAGAAAACATAACCATCCAAGGTTTAAAGTATGTATACACAATGCTATTTTTTGAATAAATACTATATATAGCTCTGGGTCCCTCAATCCTACGGTACGATGCCACAATACACTATGCTTCCTCATAAATTACAGGACTTTCTCCTGATTGTGAGTATTGAACCAATGCAAGTGTCACATCCGTTTTTAGCCTTCCTTGTGATTTTGAGTGTCGGAGGCAAGAGCCAAGAAAATGGTGGTACTGGTGCATGTGAGGAACTGTCGACGACCCTTAAAAAAGCTTGCCATGACGCCCACTATTGGGGTTGGACTGGTTGGTGGCTGGCTGCCTTACCAGTGAGATTCTACCCCATGTTAGAAGTGGGACCTTAGGGCTCCACAAAAACATCATCACATGCATGGCCAATCAAATAATTTTACCATGATATGTGGCTTTTCACAGACAATGAGTGACGCTTGAGCCTCTTTCGATCATATCATTAGTACGGCCATTATCAAAACAGTTTTTTTTGTATGAATTTTGTTGCCATTGTGCATCTTCTCTTCCATCTGAAATGCCAATTCCTGTTGACTTTTGTCTGAAACTCCGTTTGGCCTTGGATGAAAGCAAGAAATACCAAAGGGGAAACCATTGATATTAGACACGAATGTACTGAGACGAAACCTGACGTCACTTTCGGTGTATTTGAGATAATATCACTCCTTTGTTTCACTCCACCCATTTTTTTTTAATCTGTTTTTGTTGCTTGAAGGAAGTGTTTTTAATTTGTGGGTTACCTCGCAATTGTCAATTCGTCATTGAAGAGTGCTACTTTTTCAGTACCATTTATAAATTTTGGAAGTTACCCTAGTCCTATATTAATATGTTCTTGCATTTTTCAAAGGGGTAACTTCGACTTTCCATTCGATCATCTTCGACTCGATTTTTTGACAATGATACAAGTTCAAGGAGACAAATGGTATGACTCATCCCAATATTGTGACTCACAACGATTATTTTTGTTGAATTATACAATATGAGACGAATCTATCTTATTGTTTGATTTTGATTAGAGCTGTTTGCCATCAAGGTTCCAACTTCGCTTTCCTCATGAATGGGGCACATGGGCCAAGGGAAATGGACATAAAGAGGAAAATGAAAGGCTGCTGGCCTTCCAGTAGGCTATTAGCCCAAAATTGAAGGCCAATGAGTTTATAACAAGTTGTTTTGCCCTCTAAATATCTCATCTAAATCCGCTTTATGAGTTTGAAGCAAAGATTAAAGTAAGCACCCATGGATTTTCCGGTTTATGATTTTCCAACAACGAATCCCTTGGCAAACTTCTAAAACTTGTTTGGTCATGTTTAACATGCCGAAAGGCTTAACCTGAACTTGGAACCTTGCTACATGAGTTTTGAGCACATTTTGCCAAGTGTCAGGAATTCATGGTCAAGAAATGACAGCTCATTTGCCATGTGGCAATTACACATTCTATTTAAGAAGATCAAATGTGTTGCCTTGAGAAGGAATTAGTTTGCAGGAAACTTCGGATTAAGAAGAAGAAAAAAGTAATGCTGTGTTTGGTTTCTTCTTGGCTGGAATTAGACACACACACATGGAAAACAGGAAACTTCAATCCCATAAACAGGCACATGCAATGTGTGTCGGTGTGGAAGCCGTAGGCCCTGTTTGAGAGAGACGGATCATCTTTTATCCAGGAGTTAGAACACGATTGATGTCTTTCCTTCCTGTTACTCTTTCACAATTCACTTAGATACTTGGTTGCAATGATAACAAAAATGATAACGATGAACCAGTACATGTGATTTTAGTCATAGCTCTAATGAGAAGAAGTTTTCCTTAAAATCATGGTAATAAGAAGTGGTTCATAAGGCAAAGGCTTTGTGGGGTAGTTGGTATATATTGCTTTCTGTTGCCACAGACTGTCATTATTGATAGTAAATCTCAATTCCACTGATAGATCATGGTTACTGTACAATGGTTAGTTGAATCAGGAAATTTGTTCTAAACAAAGCATATGATGGTTTTTTAACCTGTTTGGCTGAATCCGGAGAAAACAAAGTTTTGATTCCTGGCTGCTGCAAAAGACTAAAGGCCACAGCAGATATTGATTTGGTGGTGGACAGGGACCTAAAATTAGGTCCCTTGAGAGATATCCTGTTGAAAAAAGCCAATGACTTATGACAATTTGTGACACAGGTCATACCCCAAAATGGAACAACTGCTTTATTCCTTCGTTGTAAAGGTTCAATATTAATCACACTGTTATTGTTAATTGATTTTCCTGGGATACCATTTCTTGGATTATCGAGCTCTTTCCAGGCAGAGAATGCAAAGGAAAAATTAGTTCAGTCTAGATTTTTTTTGCAGCAGAAGCGTAAAATGAAACATCCATGGTAGGTATAAATATTTACTTCCTGTTTCCGATGAAACTTGCAAAATTATCCTAGACGGAGACAAGTCATTTTCTGTTATAACTCACTTGTACTATATGAGATTAATTTGGTGGTCAGAAAGTTATAGATACTAGAATTTTAATCTCAGATTTGTTAGATATCATCTTTTAAAAATAATTAAATCTTGCGTTTTTTCTCGTTTGCTTGCCATGAGGCTGCTTTAAGCTACATATTGATAAATTTATGGAAGCAGCAGGATTCAGCTGCTCATTTCCAGCACCAGCTTCTTGGTAAATGATAATTGACCTTGCTTTGATCACGCAGGGGAAGAAGCTTTGTTTTCTCAGGCTACCAAGCCAATATGATGCAAACATGAAAGATGAGCTTCAATCAAATGTTTGTTCATTAAAGCAACATGGGTTCAAGCATATGATCTTTAACACATTGCATCAAATTCCCAAGTTCTATCTCATTTATAAATGAGATCAGTTTTAATCATAGTCACTTAACCTAACATCTATTGGCAAATGATCATTCTTGAGTTTAAAATCGGTTTGATTATCTGGAATCTGGATACAGTTAAATTTTGCACTTATACTCATGATAATGACATCCAATAAAAAAGTTTAAACCACTTTCCAAATTATCTTCTTAATAATTATTTCTTCATCATTAATTTATGAAAAAAAAAAAGGATTAAGATAAGAAAGTTTTGTCTCTAATGACTGTTTCCTTAAAAATCAACAAATTTTTTACCTTATTGGAGACAGTGGTGAAAAAGAGGATTAAGATAAGAAAGTTGTATCTAATGACTGTTTCCTAAAAAATCAACCTTATCGGAGACAGTAGTATAATCCTTTAAAACAATGAAAATATATATTGAGTTTATACTTGATATAATATTAGTATATATATTTTATATACTTTTAGTAAATATTAATAATCAAATAATTTTATTAGTCCTTTAGATAAAGGGAAAGATTTAGATGAAATTCCTTAGGTAAAGTTTGTGAAATTTTCTACTAAAAACAATCAAATAAAATTAAAATTGAAAACCAAAATCGGTAAGTTAAAAAATCTCTTTACATAGATCAAATATGCAAAATTTAAAAAATTTTAATAAATTTTGATTAATATTTTTATATAGATATTTTTAGTAAAAATATTAATAACATTTTTATCATTAAATAAGTATGGATCAAATTTAAATTATAAAAAATATTTTTAAATTTTTTTAATATTGTTAATCTTCAAATTGAATTCTATTAATATATCGATTTATATTTTTTATTAAAATTTTTTTTAATTCATTTTTTAAAAAATTCACGAATTTCACCTAAAAATCTTCATTTAAGTTTTTTTCTTAGATAAATACACAAAAAATTATTTTTTTAAAATATATTAATGAAATGACATCATCTAACTTATCAATAATGTATAAATTTTATACATTAATAATATATCAAATATAAATATATATATATTTTTCTTCTATATCCAAGTTCTAATGTTCAATATAGAGAATTAAAATCTTATTCTAATCTTGTCATTAACACATACTTAAAACATTCAGCTAAAGAAAAAAAAAAGAAAGACTTCAAAATGATATTTTTCAACTTATTATTATCATATGAAAGCTGGTTATCTTTTATTATTTTGATGACTATCAATACTTAACAAAGAATTCATTGTGAAAACTGAATTATAAGCCAACAAAGTTAGATTTGTTGTCGCTTACCTGTTTTACTTATTTATGAAACATAATGATATTTGCTTTTTGGATTTTGGATAAAATCTTCATTTATTAAAAAAGAATAACTGTTTAATATCAAATTGGATCAAATCAAAGTCATGTCTCATTGTCATCCAACAAGCACAGCTCTTCACATCTTATATGAATCAGAGCCAACAATGTCACTTCCATATAATTCCCCTTCAATTCATCCCACTCTAATTAGCACCATTATGTGGCTTATGAGTCAACATGATCCCCCACTCTTTGAAATTTCATGGACATATTTTGTCATATTTTAGAGTTAATTCAAATTTATATCAACTAATCTAATCAATTATATACCATTTTCTTGCTTTAGATTGTTATTAGTATTATTCCAATAATTACTTCAAAAGAATAATAATGCAATTCTAAATCATCTCGAATTCTCTATTTCCTTATTGAAGATTAAATAATAATAATAATAATTGTTAAAATATTTCTAGGCAGTAAAGTGAAATCTCAACAAAAAAACATATTTCATCTATCATCGAAAACAATGATCGAACATATAAATTTTATTTTACCAACCCAAAAATACTAAGAAGCTTATATTTTATGTGATTACCAACCAACAAAATCATTATTATGTGATACTAACATTGTCCTAGTGGGTTTGTTTAAGGGGGTTTGGTTGAGTGGTTAATTCATGCTCAAAATGCTTGAAAGAACAAAAAAAAAAGGAACAGACAAAAATGCCAACTAGGTGCTTCATGTTTGTTAGAATAGCCAAAAACTGAAATATTACTTGGGATGTGTCCACTAATCATGAAGCTTAGGGCCACAATTTAAGGTACCTTTTTCACCAACTCTGCCTATTTTTTAATTTTTCTTAGTAGTTATATTACTATGGTTTTTAGTATGATCATCAAATTCTACACTGTTATTAAAAAAAAATTTACAAATGCAGGGGATAAAGTTCTTGGGCAAATGCACACTATGAACCCCTTTTGTTCTTTGAGAGAAAATTTTGTGGGGACTGATTAATTTATGCATATTGTAATTTGGAAAGAACTACAAAGAAAAACTTTCAATTATTGGGTATTTTGTGCTTTTCTCTAAGTAAACAAACTTGTAAAATGTGTGCTTGAAAAACTGTACAAATATAGTGTTTTAAGTTCGATTTTGCCTTCCTCTAACTTTGTTATATTTAAAGGATAATTCTAAAATTTACGATCTTTTTGTAATCAAATGATTCGAATATTATTAATACATTATAATCAAATTATTGATTGTAATGTATTAATATTATCAATTTTTTTAATACAAAAGATATCAACGAACAAAAAAAAATAAAAAAAATAAAATTTGTAAGTGTGCATTCGAGAATAAATTTTAATTTTATTATAATTTATTTAGGAAAATAAATTTTGTAAGTGTGCGTTCGAAAATGAATATCAATTTTATTATAATTTATATTTTTTTAAAATCAATGAATCATTTGAATTAAACCCAAATTTATTATAATATCATCTTTAACATTAACAAATTGATACAAAATTTTCCTTTTACTGCCTTTCATGATTTGAATTTCTAAAACCTTCAATTCTGTCAACATTCCATGTCAGACTCATTCATTAATGATCATTTAAATTGGCAGCCAACTTGATTCCGGGTTATATGAACTATGTGATCAAAATAAAATACAATCATTAAATTTTAATTTATAAATAATTTATTTCAAATATTTTAATTAAATAAATTTAATTTCAATTAAAATTTTGTAATTGTAATTAACTCACGTCAAGTTTGTGATAAAAACTCGAAACGTTTTTAAGACTCTAGTCGGTTGGTAACTTGGTGGTTGATGAATTTAGCTGCAGTGGTCGAATCTTGAATTTGGGTCCACTAAATTATTCTGATCATCAAATCACAGAATTAATGTTATAATGAAGAGCAAAATAAATCTGGCCTGTTAAATTATTCATCACTAACTCACTCAAATAATTATGTAATAAAGTGCTCACATTTATATTTTTCCTAACTTCGGTTCAGTTACAGCTAAGATTGGAAGGGACCAAATTTATGACATGCCTTTTCTCCAAATCACGCTTTATGGCTTAATCAATACCCTCATTTGTATTAGTGGGGACCAATCATATATGATCTGGCACGTTGAATGGATGCCACGTAGCTACAATCAGTCAAACGGCTGTTGTCATGGTCAAGGGAGAGAAAAAATAAAAAAAATAAAAATTAATTAAAAATTATAATATTTGATTTAATTTAAATATTTTTTATTCGAATCAAATTTAAATATTAAATATATATATTAAGTTTAAATTAAATTTTGTATCAAGATATAAAAAATAAAAAAATTTGAAATGAATTGAATTATATATTTTTATTAATTTTTATATATTTTTAAATTTTTATGAAATAAAAATAATTATTTTATTTAAAATTTTATTTAAATATATCAAAAATTTTATTAAAATAATATATAAATAACCAAAAAAATTAAACTTTAAAAACCGATAAATCAAATAAAAAAATTCGATTCAAATCCAATTAATTTTTAAAAAATATCAATTTGAATTTATAACAAAATTTTAAAATTTATAATATTTTATCTTATTAAAAAAAATCAAATTAAATCCAATTATCATCATATGTAGTTGTGATGTTGTGTCACTTGGTCTAGTTGGCGTTAGAGAGCAGAGTCTAGAATAGTATAGTATAGCAAATGTGAAAGAGCGCAGGAAAGGAAGTTAAAAATGGATTTCCCAAAGTGCCACTGCCACCAATTAAAAGTCCAAAAAATGCATGTAATCTCCGGTCACCGTATGTCCCAACATGATAATTTTAGACATAATATAGTGATCCGATGTAAAAAATATATAAAAAAATAATATATATTTAAAAATATATATATTTCAGTTTATATAAATTTTGACTGAACATAATTTATATTATATATGTGTTAATTCATTTAAATATATGATAAAATATGAATAACACATTTAAATTAATCTTATCATATAAATATACATTTAATATATTTAATACGTTTAACATATTTTTTATATTTATTTTAATTTAATATAAATATATAAAAATTATTTTAATTTTTAATCTTTTAATTATGAGACTTAATTATTTAATATCATACAAAAAATTATTTTAAACATTTAATTTGATACTCATTTAATAATTATTATAAAATTACTTTTTCATATTAATTATAAAAATATAATATTAATATTAATATTAGTTCTATACATTATTATTTATTCTTTAATCTTTAATAATTTATCATTTTAAATTTGATACTAAAAATTAATATGGTTATATAATATAAATATAAATTTAAATATATATATTAAATACATATTAAATGAGTATTAAAATTAATGTAGTTATATAATATAAATATAAATATATATTAAATACATATTAAATGAGTATTAAAATTTTTTTAATATATAAATATCTTTTTATACTATTAATATGTCAAATTTATTAAATTATAAATGATAAAATATTACAACTATTTATATTTTAATTATATTTTATATATATTCGTATTAATCATATTTATTCATATATATATGTATTGGTTTTATGAATTTGTGCATCTCCTTATTATTTATATTTAAATAAATTAATTATATATATATTAATTGTATTATATTGTGTAATAAATATATTAAATATATTATATTTTTATTTAAAATTAAAATATATTTTATAATATATTTTTTATTTATATTTTAATAATTTATATTATTACACGTACACAAAAACACGAACTATCATATGTATCCCAACCTCACTCCTCCCTTTGTAGAAAATGCCACGTCATGTTATCATGGCTATCCTTCTTATGATGATGATGATAAAATGCCCCCACCCTTCTCCGTTAGCTTCAGATCTGGTGGTCCTGGAAACTCACATAGTTTAACATTTTCTTCTCTAGACATCTCCAGAGAGAAAACACTACAACTCCAGTTTCACTATACTAATGGGAGAGGTGATGATCTTAAAATATTCATCGCTATCACTCTCTTTCCATTTCTTTTTTTTTTTTCGTTTCATTTCATATATTATGGAGTAACATGTTTATTGGTGTCTTGTTTTGTGTTTTTTTGTTTAACAGGAAGAGAAGAAACCGGCAGAGGAGAAGAAAATGGAAGAGAACAAGGGTGAAGATGGGAAGAAAGGAGGAGAGGAAGAGAAGAAAGAAAAGAAAGAGGAAGCAAAACAGGATGGAAAGTCAGGGGAGGAAAAGAAAGCTGAAGAATCAAAAGATGGGAAAGAATCCCCTGCTCCTCCTCAAGAGATTGTCTTGAAGGTTTACATGCATTGCGAAGGTTGCGCCCGCAAAGTCCGTAGGTGTCTCAAGGGCTTTGAAGGTTAAGAAAAAGAACCCAACTCCTTCTTTTTCTTCTTCTTTTAACAAATGTTTTGTTTGTTTTCATTTGATTTTATAAAAATGAATGCATTTGTTTTTGGTTTTGCAGGGGTGGAAGATGTAATGACTGATTGTAAGAGTAATAAGGTGGTGGTGAAAGGAGAGAAAGCGGATCCTTTAAAAGTTCTTGAGAGAGTTCAAAGGAAGAGTCACAGGCAAGTGGAGCTTCTCTCTCCGATCCCCAAACCACCTGCACCAGAGGAAGAGAAGAAAGCAGAGGAGAAAGAGAAGCCTAAGCCTGAAGAGAAGAAAGAAGAGGTCTTTCCCTCATTCCCCAACTCTCTTTCTTTTGCTTTTCCAAAAAAATATCAATAATTTATCAGCTTTCTCAATTACTATAAAAGATTCATCTTTCAACATTTCTGGGTTTGACAAAAAAAGTTTGGTTCCTTTCCCTGATTTTGCAGCCTCAGGTGATCACGGTTATGCTCAAGGTTCACATGCATTGTGAAGCTTGTGCACAGGAAATCAAGAAACGTATTCAGAGAATGAAAGGTGCATTTTTATTCTTTTCAAGTTTGTTTTTCAGTTCATAAAATTTTGCCTTCCTTTACTTTTTTAAGTCTTTGAAAATAAGATTTTCATATCGTGATTAACAGTCTTGCTACCCTTTTTTGGTTGTGATTTGTGACCCCAATTTTTTTTTTTTTAAATCACAAGGAATTGTCTTTTTACCTTTCCAAATCTCTTTATGCTCTCACTAATGATTCAAAATCAGCCCCATTTCTTTTCTTTATTGATTTATTAAATTCATTAAGATTCTAGCCAATTCGATCCAATTCGAGTCAAATATGATTCTTTAGTTCTACTAGCCCTCCCTTATCAAAAACTCAGTTTTGAATATATATATATATATATATATATATCACAGTATGAAGTGATGTTACAAGAAATTGTTTAAAAAAAATCTGTGTTCCGAAAAAATTTTTAGGGGTAGAAGCAGCTGAACCAGATCTAAAGAGTTCAGAGGTGACAGTGAAGGGAGTGTTTGATCCACCAAAACTGGTAGAGTACGTGTACAAGAGAACAGGGAAGCACGCGTTAATAGTGAAGCAAGAGCCAGAGAAGAAGAAAGAAGAAGAAAAAGCAGGCAAAGATGCCAACAAAGAAGAGAAAAAAGGTGAAGAAGGTGGTGACAAAGAAATGAAAGAAGCCGGTGGAGAAGACAACCAGGACAAGAAAGAAGGTGACAACACAGAAGCCAACGCAGCAGCCGCTGAAGGTGCAACAGAAGAGATCAAAGTGGCGATGGAACTCATGAGAAATGAATACAATTACTACCCAGCAAGGTATGCAACAGAGTTTTATGCATACCCTCCTCCCCCTCCTCCTCAGATCTTCAGTGATGAGAACCCTAATGCTTGCTCTGTAATGTAAAAACTGGAGGATTCAGGGGCATGGTAGGGATTAGGATGAACAAAATATTGGCTCCTGCTCTTTGCATGTGCCCCCACTTTGTACTGTGTAGGCTCTGCCTGATGGCTATTATAAAAAAGTATAATCTACAGACAAACTGTAGAATTTTGTGAAGCATTTGTACTTTTTTTTTCTTCTTTTCTTTAAATTGTTATATATAAATAAATATATATAAAATAATGATAAATTGAATTAAGAGTTGGATCAACAGATCAAGGATAGCATAGAATCTATATTTTGCTGGTGGCCAGGGGATCATCACTCACTCTCAGTCTCGCTGTTAATGAAGATGGATTGGAAATTTCTATAATTTTCAGCACTAAAAATGGTTGGTTGGCATGAGGAGTTTTCAAATTGACGTAGGCATGACACTTTGCCGTAACGCTTCCATAGGACCGGCTGCTTTATTTGAAGTGAAATGGATGCGTGAAAAATGCCAGGAAGTAAGACAGCCAAAACACAATGTGGAGGAATATTGTGGGTGTCATATTTTCATGTTTGGCATCCAATAAAGATTTCATGTTAGTGGAGAAAACCTGTTATGGGAAACCGTTTACTTTTTTGGTTAAAGGAAAATAAAGAGATCTATTGATTAACAGGCGTTTTTTTCACAGAATGTTTGTTGAATATGATATATATATATATATATATATCATTTTATGATCAAAATAAATATAATTATATGAACAAATTAAATGAAATCCGAAATATATTAACACATGTTTTTAAAAAATGTGTTAAGTTTAAGCAAAAAGATAAGAGTAACAAGTGTTAAACAAATAAATTTTCATCAAACAACACAAGTTAGTGACATGAAAATCTTGCTAATTAGTTTTTCAAGTTACTTGTCCATAATTGAGTGTCAAAATTTCTATGCATTCAAAAGAATCCCAACTTGGAAAATCTTTCCAATTTTTGTTTTTGTAATGTAAATTTGCAGTTATTTGCAATTACATTCGTTTAATTCCTCATGACCCTGTCTCGGAAACGCCTGCTTTGGAAGACCACAATCATCAAAATTTCCAAATTTCTTTTTCCCTAGCGAAGCGTCTATGGTTACCAGGAATAACATTTTCCGATGACCAGTGGTTCATTGGGAAACTTGTAAATTTCCTGTCAACCCAAAGTGGTTTCTGTTATTTCTAAGTGGGAAATCGAGGAATCAGAAAAAACAGAACCAAGTAGTAGTATAAAGTAATTTGGAATATGGGAAAGGAAGTGTAATTTTGGAAATATCCCTAAGTGTGTGGACCGTTTTGGGGCCATGCCATGATACAACAATAATAAAGTATTGTATCATATCTACTTTATAATTTCAGCTCCAAAACTTACGCAATCAAAATTTCCTCACATTCATATTATTATTCTCTTACCTTTTTCTGATTAAGCACTATTAGTATTAGCACTTGTTTTCCTTTTGTGTTTTGAATTATACAATTGAATAGGTAACTTTCCTTTTCCATGATTCTCAATTCAACTGAAAAAGAAAAAAATAATTGTTAAAGAAGCAGTTTTAATGATGACAATTTCTGGTAAAAAAACCATTCATCGGGAATTCCATCCACATTTGAACAAATACCATCTCACTTAGTATAAGATTCATTTTTTTTTATATGCAAGTATAAATAGATTGAACAACTTTCTTCTAGGAAAAAAAATTTTGAATTAACTGTCTGAAAGATTAAGTTTCAAGTTCCAATAACATCATTAATCAACGTTTACCCCTGAGATTTCACGTGTAACAAAAAGTAATGAATTATTTATTCGCAAATGTGATGAACAGCATTATTTTTTTTTAGGTCAGAGCATCAATAAAAAACATGGAAATTTTTTGAGAATACAGTAATTCAACTGGAGTAAATCTATACTGTTTCTGCCAAGCAATTATGAAGCCATGGTGGATGGTAAAGATACATTAAAAAATAGTGATCTTGATTTCTTGTTGAAGTGATCGTTTTCTTTAAAAAAATAGTGAAGGAAAAGCTTGATTGATAGACAAAGTATGCTAATAATTCAAGGATAAAGCAACCCCTCAGAACTGACAAATTTTATGGTTAAAGTGATTTCCTTTAAGGTTTACGAGTGGGCTCGTTGAACTCAATGATATCCTATGGAGTATTAGTGAAAGACTCCTATGACCACCATGCTGGCTATGATATTATTAGCACATGTATTGCCTTCAGGGTGTATTCAATGCTGAAAGCAAGATGTCGAGAGTTGTGCCAACGGTGTTTTATACGAAACTTAATCATATTAAGATTTTGTATGGCAGGCAGAGGCCAGGCCAGGCCAGGCTATGAGTCTATCTAACATTTTCGAAAGGTTTGATGACTGCTTCTGCATGAGATTCGACCATCACATGCCAATTCTATTGTTCCAGCTAGAAGATTTTTTGGTTTTTGTTTTTGTTCTGTTTCTTTATGGGGTCGTAAATTCTCAAAGGAATATAGCCTTTTGTAGCCAACTTGTGTTGACTGACTACCTTAACCATGTACGATCATGAAAGATTCATAAAAAATTATTTGTAAAGTTAATATTCTTTATTCCAAGGGTTTTTGATCATATCTCTCATTTTTATTGAGGGAATTTTTGGCTGGCTTTACTAAAACACAAAGCTAACTTCTATTTTTGGCATTTTTTGGGATTCAACAACTCTGTAAGATTAGTTTAATTGATAAGAGAAATAATTTTTTTTTATGAGAGATCAATATTTATAAAAAATACTCCAAAAATTCATGAAAAAAATATGTGTTTTTAGACTGTTTAAGGAAAGAAATTTTTTTTTTTTTCAATCAAACATAGATTTTTACGAAGAATGCTTTGAGAAAAATTTTGAAATACACCAAACAAGTGTAAGAGAATGCACCTTACAATTATTTGGGGAAAGAAATTAGGTCTAGAAAAAACTTTAAAAAAACCCTAAAAAACACAAGTAATAGTAATATTTTTCATGGTACTTTTGTAACTACCCACTCAATAGGAACATTGTGGATTAATAAATTTTTCTTGAAAAATTTACTTCTTATTGAATCTTTTTGGGCGAGGAAATGAGAATTTTTACTGCCAAAATACCAAATAATGGCGAAAGTACTTCAAATTATAAAAAGTGATATCTACCAATATTCTTCCATAAATACACTAATTTTAATTTTAAATCAGATAAATTCATAGTTAATTGCCTCTCTCTCAAATTAAAAATGCACTGCAACTATAAATTTTTTTATAGATTTGATGATTTATATATTTATATTATATAAAATATTATATAAAAAATTATATATAATAATTTACATCGTTGTAAAAATAAAAATATATATTTTTAATTTTATTAAATTTATATATAATTATTATTAATATTTTAAATCGTATTATTTTTATATTTTTATTTATATTATATTTGTATCTTATTTGTAAATTATATTTATCAGACTTATTATAAAATAATATTCTTCCGAGTTAGTAATTTATTGGATTCCAAAGCAAGATTAACGGTAAAGAATACTGTGGTGTTGACGGGGCTCGACATTGTTTCCTTGGAGTAGTAAATCACACTTCCCAAAGGCCGCATATTCATTGTACTCTCACTCTTATAATAATACTAATAAGTAGCAATAACGAAGCTAAATCTGACTGCTTTAACAGTCTCACATCTCTAAATATTTCTATGATTATCTAATGATCATTTTTATGTCTAAATGCATTCTATCTAAGCTACAGACTCACAAGAAAGGGCGGTCTGGATAAATAATGTCCTTTGTGTGCCATGTGTACTAATCATATTTTGTTTTTGAATTAAAAAAATTTGTATGCATTACATTATGTTAGAATTAGGAATAAAATTTTTTTTAAATTAAAATTATAATATTTAATTTGATTAGATTAATTTTTTTATTTGATTCGAATTAAATTTAAATATTAAATATATATACATTAAATTTAAATTTAATTTCGAATCAAAAAATAAAAATAAAAAATTATATATTTTTATTAATTTTTATTTATATTTTTAAAATTTTTTTAAATAAAAACAATTATTTTATATTTAAATCTATTTAAATATATTAAGAATATATAAAAATAATATATAAAAACAAAAAAATAAATTAAAAAATTTATTGAATGAAATTAAATTGAATTAATTAAATTAAATTAAATTTAATATGAATCATATAAAAATTTAATTTAAATTTAAATCGATATTTTAAAAATTTATAATTTTATAAATTATATAAAAAAATTAAATTAAATTCGATTCAATTTAAATTATTATAAACTCTAATTCAAACCATATAATTATATCTGAGGAGGATACGGGTGATATAAGAAAAAAAATCGAAGGAATCGTTAAACTCACTTTACTCTCAATCGAAATCATTCTCTTCACTTTCATAACCTTTTTCTTTTTTTTTTTAATCTGAATTAATTTCTTTTTTTTTTTTTTTTTGTTTTTTCCTTTGACAGATCCAGCTAGACGTCTTTCCTAATCTATCTATCAATTCTATTTTACCTACCCAAAAACACTTCAAAAACAACTGAATAATGTTTCATCTGATCTTCACGAAGGCCCAAATAAAAATTTTTTGCTTAAATTCACTGCATTAAAGTTTTTATAGTTGTGTTTTTAGTTCTTCATTATCTATCTAGGGATAATAACGGTTTATATTAAATCAAATTCGATTTGATTTTTTTAAATATAATATAATATAATAAAATTTTAAATTTAAATTTTAATTTAAATATAAATATAAATTAAATTTATATTTGATTTATATTGAATCGAACTAAATATTATTTTAAATTTAAAATTTTATATTATTTTAATATAAAATTTTAATATATTTAAATAAATTTATACAATATTATTATTTTTATTTTATAAAAATTAAAAAATATAAAAATTAAATATATATAATTTAATTCGATTTAAATTTTTTTTAATTTTTAATTTTTACTTTAAATTTTAATTTGAATTTAATATATATTTAATATTTAAATTTAATTAAACTAAATAAAAAAATTAATTTAAATCGAACCAAAATCTAGTGTTTTAATTTTTTTTCTCACCCGTTAACCCACCTGCCTTTCATGGTGCTGGCCCACCCAAAATCTG